CCCCCTCGCTGATCTCCACCTCACTACAGGACACGGACCAGGGACACGGTACAGGACACTGTGAAGGGACATAGCACAGGACACGGACCAGGGACATGGTACAGGACACTGTGAAGGGACATAGCACAGGACACGGATCAGGACATGATAAAGGAAACTGTGAAGGGACACGGTACAGGACATGGTACATAACATGGTACAGGATACGTTGAAGGGACGTGGTGCAGGACACGTTAGTGACGTGGATTTCGGCAGGAAAATAACAATGGGGTGGAGCGGGAGATGGAGATTCCCGGAAAGGGTCACCTTATGAAGAAGTCTTCCTATGACGTTTGGTCTTCCTCGGATGTTCGATGTTGCGGGTGGGCGGAGAGATAAGAATTTACTTCCTGCTTTACAGGAAATACTTTTATTTCGGATTGAACTTTGGCCGTCATGGTTTGTATCCCGGCAGATTCTTCTACCCTTCGGGGTCAGAACCTTTCCATGCTTACGGGGCTGAAACATGTTCCTCTTGTTGGAGATCTCCCAATTTTTCAACACTGACCTTATCGGTCTATCCTAACCGATATGACTTTTATTGGGGGATGGGGGTGTTAGAGGTAAAGGGAATCTTACCCAGATTGCTTTGCCAACAGATCAAAAACTAAACAGAACAGACTGAACCTAGAAAATCGAATTTCTGATCCAGAAGGCCAAACAGGTAAGAGGCTCCACCGGAACCCCAAAAATAGCAAACACAAAACGAGATTTTCCTATATGTGTAATCCCACCGGGGGCCGTTCTTCAACAACAGAATCCCTCCCCATCCCGATGTTATACATCCAGTCCAGTCCTCATCATTCTCCTCTAACACTCTACAGAGAGACCTCCAGAGATCACATGACGGGACGATGGAGGAGGACCGGAGTCACATGACTGATAGGATACTAAACCTCACCCTGGAGATCATCTACCTGCTGACCGGAGAGGTGAGGAGGATTCTGGGAGGTCACATGACCTGACCGGAGAGGTGAGGAGGATTCTGGGAATCTAACATGATCTTATTGGTTTCTCCATCCAGAGTTTTCCTCTTCTGAAGTCCGGTAATCATGTGACCATCACAGCGCCCCCATGTGACTCCCTAAAACCCGAGAGACCCGACATGGAGAAGATTCTAGAAGTCACCAAGAAGATGATGGAGCTGCTGACGGGAGAGGTGGGCAGTGCCGGGGATTCTGGGACATGATCCAGGAACAGACAAGGGGCGTGTCTGGGTGGTGACGGGAGGGGTGAGCGGTGCCGGGAATTCTGGGACATGATCCAGGAACAGACAAGGGGCGTGTCTGGGTGGTGACGGGAGAGGTGAGCGGTGTCGGGAATTCTAGGACATGATCCAGGAACAGACAAGGGGCGTGTCTGGGTGGTGACGGGAGAGGTGAGCGGTGCCGGGGATTCTGGGACATGATCCAGGAACAGACAAGGGGCGTGTCTGGGTGGTGACGGGAGAGGTGAGCGGTGCCGGGGATTCTGGGACATGATCCAGGAACAGACAAGGGGCGTGTCTGGGTGGTGACGGGAGAACTGTACATCAGAGGTCTCACACGTGTGAGGATCTACATGCATGTCCTGAGTGCGGGGAAAGTTTTCCACAGAAATCCGAACTTGATATACACTACAGATCTCACACAGGAGAGAAACCTTATTTCTGCCCTGAGTGCGGGAAATTTTTTTCACAGAGAACCAACCTTTCCAGACATCAGATATTGCACTCAGGTGAGAAGCCATATGCCTGTTCCGAGTGCGGAAAATGTTTTCCACGGAAATCAGACCTCATTAGACATCAAAGGTATCACACAGGAGAGAAGCCGTATTCCTGCCTTGAGTGTGGGAAAAGTTTTCCACAGAAATCAGACCTTGTTACACATCAAAGATCTCACACAGGCGAGAAGCCATATTCCTGCCCTGACTGCAGGAAATATTTTTCACAGCTGTCCCATCTTTACGCACATCGGAGGTCTCACACGGGGGAGAAGCCGTTCTCCTGCCCTGAGTGTGGAAAAAGTTTTACACAGAAGTCCAGTCTTACTGTACATCAGTTAAGCCACACAGGGGAGAAGCGGTTTTCCTGCATGGTGTGTGGGAAATGTTTTCCTCGGAAAACAAAACTTGTCACTCATCTAAGATCTCACACAGGTGAGAAGCCGTATTCCTGTCCTAAGTGTGGGAAATGTTTTTCACAGAAGTCCAATCTTAACAAACATCAGAAAACTCACGCAATCCTTGAAGTGTGTTAGCGTCCCATTGATTGATAAAAGTCGTCTTCAGATTTGTATCATTAAATCTTTTTTTCTTCCTTTCTCTACAATACATCTCCAGCCATTCATTTCCATTATATGTATTGTAGGACTAGAAGACATGGCCAGGTTTTATTTGGCTGTGTCTCCCTCAGTGAGATTCCCCCTCTCTATGTGTCCTGGTGAACGTTCTCACCGAAAGTGAAAGTAAATCCCAAATTGTGAGTTGTCACCAGTGGGCGGAGTCTTCCTCTCAGTATAAATATATTTCCTGTCACCCGGGAAGATGAAGGACGGGGCCCTCGCAGGAGCTAGTGGTGTCGTCCTGTGTTTGGCTGGCTCTGTCACCTTCTCATTTAGTGAATCAGATCCTCCGTCCCATCCAACTGACCCCGAGCCCACCCAACGATCCTGACCACGATCCCACCCAACGGTCCTGACCCCAAGCCCACCCAAAGGTCCTGACCACAAGCTCACCCAACGATCCTGACCACGAGGTCACCCAGTGGTCCTGACCAGAGCTCACCCAACGGTCCTGACTCCGAGCTCACCCAACGGTCCTGATCCCGAGCTCACCCAACGGTCCTGACCCCGAGCTCACCCAACGGTCCTGACTCCGAGCTCACCCAACGTTCCTGACCCCGAGCTCACCCAAC